TGGCCATGGTGGTTCAGGGTGGACCGTGGTTCACTGAGCTGACCGTGGGTGATTGATCCGAAATGGCTGCGGAGACGCAAGTCTTGCGAAGTCTTGCGTCACAATGCGCGCGTCCTGCATTTCCGAGGACTGCAGAGGCTTGCAGAGGGCACGCGCGACAAAGGGCAGAGAGTAACTGGCAAGTAACGTTCGAATTAGCAATCTGTTAAATAAACCCGTGTCGCGTCGCGTCACACGGAGTTCCGAGTAAAATTACATCGATTCAAAATTACATTCCGTTCATTTTGTTCCTACAATCCGCCGACGCCCTACACGAAGTTGCTGGGATACAGGTAGTCCTCCAAGTTCACAAAGTTCTCCTTGATGCTGCGGGGGCTAACGAACCGGTAGAAGATGCTGATGCTGCCCGCCTTATCGTTCGTTCCGCTCGCACGGCCGCCACCGAAAGGCTGCTGGCCGACCACAGCGCCAGTGCATTTTTCGTTGTAGTAGACATTACCGGCTGCGTTGCGGAGCGCGTTGGTCGCCTTGATCAAGGCAGAGCGCTCAGAGGCGAAGCTAGGCGGTGCGTCGATATCACTTTTCGAAGATAGAAGACGAAATTGACGAACATGGCACCGGTAAGGCCGTATACCGAGGTCGAATCAATAAGCTTGAGCGTCTGGTCGTATTCCGCGTCGTCGTAGACGAAAACCTGTGCGACAAAATGAGGGAGATGATCTCTAGAGTGTCAGAAGCACAAACGGTGAGGACGGGACCGAATATTTCTTCCACCATGGTGACAGACTTGGCATCTTTGGTCAGGATGACCGTCGGCTGAACAAAATATCCCTTCGAATCATCACCTAGACGAGACGTGAACTTTGTGAGTCCCGCAATCACAACGCGGACTAACCAGTGCCGCCGATCAGAATTTCGCCGCCAGCCTGCTTGGCCTCTTCGACGTATGCAAAGACCTTATCGAACGCAGGTCGTCCACTGCGTAGCCGTCAGTAGAAAGTTATAAAGGTTGAAAAGAGAGACGGACATAACGGGGCCCATATAGTTGGACCAATCGTCAGGACCACCGACCTTGATCTTCGCGATCTCCGCAAGTAACAGGTCTTTGAATCCGCCAGACCACACTGATGACGAGACATACAGCCGGGAGAGTGCCGAACATTTTTGGCCTATTCGCGAAATAAATATCGCCTGCAGGTTAGTAAAGAAACGTGCTACCTTGGTACTCAAAAGCGCCCCGGATCGTCTGAATGACAGCGTTCCTGACATCGGCACTCTTGTGGACAACGTGGAAGTTCTTTCCACCCGTTTCGCCGACTATTTTGGGGTAGCCCTTGTAGTTGTCCATATTGGCAGCAATGTCCTTCCAGAGCTGCTTGAACACGAAGGTGCTGCCAGTGAAGTGGAGGGCAGCAAACAAAGGGTGCTTGATGCACTGCTGGGCAACGATCTCTGGTGCTCCCGGAACAAACTGGATCACAGAAGGAGGAACGCCAGCCTCCACGAAAATCTGGTGAACGATGTAGCTCGAGTATGTCGCCATAGGTGAGGGCTTCCAAACGACGACATTCCCGACCAATGCGGGCGCTAGAGTGTCGAAATCAGTACGCGAAAGAGCGAAAAGGAGGCGTACGTACTCGCGTTAAGGTTACCGCCAATGGCGGTAAAGTTGAAAGGCGAGATGGCGAGCACGAAACCTTCCAAAGCACGATATTCAACGCGACTATGACGCACGTCAATGAAAGGCGCGATTTTGATATTCCACGCGACTTACTTCCACGCTCCCGCAGAATTTTTGGCCGGCTGTTGAGCATACAGATCCTGGACGAACTTAACGCCAAATCTCAAGAAATCGGTCAACTGCCAGTATTCGATTAGAACCAGCGTTCAACGGCAACTAGAAAAACGGACCTCCGCGGCCGCGTCGATTTCGGCTTGCCAGGCGTTCTTCCCCTGTCCAAGGATGGTCGCAGCCATGAGCTTGTACCGGTACTTGCCCGCGACAAGATCCGCCGCCTTCAAGAAGATGGCCGCCCGGTCGTTCCAAGGCATGGACTCCCACTCGTATTTCGCAGCCAACGCGCCGTCAATCGCCTGCGCGACCGTGGCGGAGTCCGCTTCGTGATATGTGCAGAGGTTCTTTGCGTGGTCATGCGGCATAGGTTGCGAGCCAAGTTTGCCTGTTTTTACCTTGAAATAATTCAGATCTCGGTGCCAAAGGCTCGGATAGTGGCGTACCTCCTTCCCGTTTATGATACACGGGACCTCGAAGGGTAGATCGGCCTGCATCTGCTTGATCGCTGCTTGGAGGGCCGTGCGCTCTGGGGAACCCGGAGCATAGGACCGCTGCAGAAATGGTCAGCGGAGTGGAGTAAAGCGCGTATATTGGCGTGCCATGGGCTCATTCTCGATGTTGGGGATGGCGAAGGTTGCGAGCTGAGCTGAGGCCATAGTGGTGAGTGAATGAGCGAGATCCGTCGCTTAAGGCTTTGGTCCCGATCCGGTGGGCGCTTACCTGCCCAGTCGGCGCTTGTTTGGCGCGATCCCTCTTGTCCCATACCATTTCATGACCACTCCGACAGCGTCCCCAGCAGCTTCACGCACCGCTGCCAGCACTCCAACCACGCGTCCGCCGCCAGTCAACGCGCTATGGGGTCAATTGCTCCGCAAAAGCACGCTCGCGCCTCCTACAGCGGGTCCTCTGCCACCGACCGCGCCGCTCGATAAAACGGGCACTTCAATGCGCATCCTGTTGCACGACACCCAAGCTAACTTTGAGAGATTTTCCACCAGAGTCGATACCCTTGCCTCAGGAATCGACAATGCAAAGAGAGAGATCGTAATCGTCAAGGATCTTTTCCAGGGAGCGCAGGAGACGCTAACGATGGACGTCGTCGACCTCGGTACGCGGCTATACTGAATATACGCGCTTTTTCTGAGATGCACGCAAGTCAATAGAAGCCAAACGCAAATACAAAAGTCCATGGGCAGTCCCGCCCAAGCTGCAACTCTAGATCTACTGCGAAAGGACGTCGAAATTCGGTTGAATGGATTGGCGAGACGTCTCGATGATATGCAATCTGTACTGATTCATCTGAATCCATCCAGCGCAGACATTGACTTTCCGTTTGTCTAGTTCAACCAGACACAATCGCAGGCCCTGCAAAATCTCACTCAAGCACTGCAGAGCCTCCAAGATCAGCAAGGAAAAATCCTTTCTGCCGTATTGCCTCTTCTCCCCCTCCTACAAGCCGTCCCAGCCCACGTCAACTCAGCGCGGAGTAGCATAAACGAGACGATGCTCAAGGTCTCCCTAGAATCTACTCGAAATCACAGAACCCCACCCCACTTCTGGGCCCAGCCACCACAGGTCGTCCGCAAGCGTAGTTTTCCCACCGGTCCCCCCTCTTCGCCACTCCTCGCCCGAAAACGACCAAGACTAGACGAGGAGCATCCCGAATCTGACCACGTCATGCCAAAACCAATGAGAGAAGAATACCCCACTAGCTATCGCAGTCCCAGAACAGTGAACCGACGACCCAGTTCCTCGCACAAGGGATCTTTTTTCCTGACTGGACCCGGGTATCCACCTAGGACCTCATCCTCAGCTCACAGAACTATTTCACTTACGAAGTCGACCGTTCCTCGCCGCCCCCTCGGTGATCTACCCGTTCCTCTGCAGACCACAGATTCCACCATCCGATCCCCCGCGTCGCCCAAAGACCTCTCTACCCGCGCGCCTGTGATCCCACCCTCCCTCGCGCGTATGATTATCCAGTCCGAGCCCCGCATGTCAAGAACGCCACCTCTCCGCGATTCGCCTGCTAAATATAGCTCTCCCCCGCCAGGGACGCCCGAGCGTCCTGACCTGCCAGCACCCTCGTCTCCTTCCCAAGCCGCCCCCTCCTCACCTAGCCCACCTCCAGCACCTGCCCATCCCGTCGTGTTGTCCTTGCCCCATGCGAAAGGACCGGATTCTAAACCATCGACGATTACGCCGCTTGAGACTGCCGCACCAAGCACGACGGTCGCTCAGCAGCAACCCGCGCCACTCCCTGCGAAAGTTACGATGGTTAGAGGGCGTCGATCACCTTTTGTGAGCATTCAATATTAGCGCTGATTTGAGACCGTTGCTTACTCACTTGCAGAGAGACGGAAGACGGTTCATTCCTTTAGACGACGACGACTCTGATTCAGACGAGGATTGATGACTTGTGGAGAAAAAATTGCTGGATCTGTAGAATAGTGCTTCCGTGCTCCGACCTCCTCCTGCTTCCATTTCGCTCTGTCTTCTATTCCCTCACTGGCGGTTGTTCTTTCTAATCCCTAGCACATGCTTCTAAAAACCCTTGTGATTCTGGACTAACTCTACTACTCGCCACGATTACAAGGTAAACAATGTAGCGTGTGCAACGGACGAATTTGGAATAATCTCTGTTCGGTAGCTTGGACTGCATAGGTGAAGGGGTCCGAATGATACTTGCCCACAAAGGCTCCCCAGTATGCGAGCGAGCGTCATTTTGAAGTACGTTCTGTAGATGCATAGATTTGCCTTGATGTGATTCTGGTCGTTTTCGGAAAAGGTCCCACGGTTCAATAAAGGTTCACACGGTTGAGTTTCAACTTTGTGCAAGCGCCTTCGAGTATCCTTGTTGTTAGAGAAAGGAATCTGCGTCGCTTACATCTATTGCAATGAGAAAGCTAAATTCATTCGACGTCCGTGAATTTGTCTTTATGTACCACCCTGTGAACCGAGACATTTATGGGACTTGAAAACATACTGTATACCTTGGGATACCTATCCGACACTCGTGGCAGAATAATAACATGTTGCTTACAGCCGTACTTGCTTAGCTCCGCCGCCCACTTCCCCGCGACAAAAACTGGAACTCGTAGAGACAAAAGAGTGGACCAGACACTGCAAAGTATCCACTCGCGGTTTTTGTCCCCAGGTATGGCCGATCGGCGCAAGTTAGGGGCGCCAGCATCGCCGCTTTTCATGCCCCCCAGGGTTCGAACCCTCGACCACTTCGGAAGGGAAGTGGTCGGCTCAGCGGTGTGTTAGACCATTAAACTAGAGGGGCATTGAAAGTAGTATCCGTGGAACAGTGCTGTCCAGCTTTTGAACGTCGGTGTTCTTATGATTTCCAGGCACGGAGCTCGCTGGTCGTTGAGAGTTTGAAGCGCACCGACGATGCATCCATGCTCCCTGCGAACGTTTTGGGATTGATATTGTTGATGTCCTATAGATGGGGATAAGAAGCGCGAGGCAAAATATATTGCGACTCGGCGAAAACCTCTTGATCTGGAAGAGAACCTTTGACAGCACTTCTGTTCAACCCAGGACATAATTTTCGCGACGCACCACCCCAGCCTTATCCGGACACCACACGAAAGTTCAACCGTGGGAATGGAATCTGCCAGCGGACTGTTCGAAGGTAAGCAATACTGGAACATTACACAAATTAGACGGGCTCGTCGGTACGAGCCTCGTGAAGGTTTACACAATCTTGGAAGGTCACTTCGGCGTCTTCAGACAATTCAACCAGCAAATCACAGTAACATATGAGGCCACCAGTTGTGGATTTCTTGCAAATAATTTTGCCTGTTGGAACGGAACATAACCAAAAATACGTCGTGAATCTCGCCAAAGTGGTCCTGAGTAACTTTGCGAGCTCAGCTGCAGGTCAACTCAATCGCCTACTGGACGAGGAGAGTCCTTTTCAGCAGAGCAAGGTGTATCCCAGTCGTTGAGGCCGCAGTACTATTTAACAATTTAACAATGTGATATTCGTCTACGTATGAAATATACTTAGGTAGCAGTACCTCGACGAACCCAACAGGAAAGAAACAAGTCGTAAGGATCGTAAGTATCGTTAAGGCAACTTGAGTCGTTTGAACCCCTTCACACCCTAAGCAGCGGGAGGAACAAACTGACGGCCGTGATCAAAACGGGGGAGCTGTTCCATTTGCCCGTGCGGCCATCGTCCGTTGAACGCTGCCGAAAATTCTTCCCGCCAAACGGATCGCATGTGTGTGCCAGTCTGCTGAGATGTGACTGCAGAGTTTCCGTCTCTTCACTACATCGGGGATGACGGTGGCGGTAATGTGGTCGCGGACTCTGTAGCTACGAACGCAGTTGTTCGGTTTAACTCGGCAATTGCCGAATCCATCATTGACCCGGCTTCTTTCACTCCCGACCAACTCCGACCATGGCCAATGAAGTCGCGCCGCCAGCGCCGTTAGCGTCCCCAGCAGCTTCAGACCCCGCACCCGATGTTCCTCCCGGCGCCCCGACCAATTCCAATACCGACGCACCCATTCCGCCCGCACAGCCAGACCGGGGAGACCTTCTCACCAAAGCCCGTGCTTTCCTCCAGCAGCCCCAAATCCAGCACGAAGACGCCATCTCCAAGCGCCGCTTCCTCGCAGAAAAAGGTCTGAATGATGGAGAAATTGAGGGTCTTATGCGCGAAACGGTATGCCGATTTCCTGCTTGCATGAACAATTTGTAACCTCTAGTGGCAGCCCGTGCAGATGCCCTTGGTTCCGCCAAGAAGTTACCCGCAACCCCCGCCGTCAAATCTGCCTGTCCTCCTTCTCGGTCTTGCTCGACTCTTCTCATGGATCGTCGGAGGGTCGGCTGCGCTCGCGTTCATCTACTATGTGCGAATCGCATCCTCCCAGTCCGATGACATTGTACTCATGAAGAACAGCGCATACTGTTACCTCGGGTTACTGCTACCTTCATTGCCCGCGCCTCCTTGAAATCGCATCATCTGTCTCTGATACAGAAACTGAACGCGTCGTTGGCAACGCTCAAAGAGTCACAGGCAGAAGTTGCCGCTGTGCTGCCTAAACCGGAGCCGCACAAGGAACCCTTTGCATTTGAGGCTTGCTTGTCGATGGACGCACTGCTGGAAAAGGCCAAGAAGCAGAATACCGAAATCTCCGCCGTCTCGGAAATTTCGCTCCTACGGTGTGCAATTTCCGACTTCCGCAAAGGGTCCGAGGCGCGGAATCCCAGAACGGAGGAAGTATTTCGAGTCATGGAGGGAAAAATTCCGTGGCTCGTGTCTGACGAAGGCGCGCCGTTTGAAGTGAGTCTCTTTTCGTTCGCTTTGGCCTTTTTTTATATATACGGCTCCACAGCAACGTCTTTGGGAGACCCTTTCGACCTGTCCACTCTTCGTATCTAGTACGTCGCCTGACTCTGCGACACCTCCGACCGACGACCAAGCGCTCCTGTATTGGGGATACGTGCCTCCGGAGCCGCTGCCTCCCACTGCATTGGTACAATCACTTTCAGCGCTCTCGGCGTCTATTCCCAAATCATCGCCCGAGAAACACAGCCCATTGCAGCACGCTTTGCAGTCGATGACAGACTTCACCGGCTACATCAGCTCGCAGATGTACGCCCCATACCTATCAGGGGCTCGGTTCGGACCCACCTCCACTATGGGTCCTGTGGAGGAAGATATACGGAAGGAAATCAGGGCATTGAAGGGGCTGGTGCTCAATCGGTGGGTTCTACGTTCACTCTGCGGGTTCCAACTGACGATATCTATCAGACGGACATTCTTGCCCACCGCGTCAACGCGGCCACATTGACCCCAAAAAATTGTTGTATATAATAGCGTTCAATCCCTCAGCTTCGCCTGTTCCACTGAGCCCGGCGCGAAACTGTCCGCGGCGGCCAGCGTCTCCTTCCAAACCCTCTTTTGCATCTTCTTCCCTTGCTCCGTGTCCAAGAAGGCGTTCCTGTGGCGCGAATTAGCTGTCACGACAGAGGAGTGAGGACCACCACTTACGGCCACACGTCGAAATCCCCCAGCAGCTCTCCGTGCGTTTCCGGTCCTGCGGACACGGCGTTCACCAGAGTCCGTGCCCCCACCGCTGCGGTTCTGCTCCTAGTCGCGTGGAGGATGACCATGATCGATCTGATCCACAACGGCTGCTTTGCGTCGATATTCGTCTTCACCATCCCCGGGCAGACACTGTTCACCGTCACCTCTGCCGCGTCCGTGCGCTTCGCAAGCTCGCGGAGTATCATGGTGACCATGACCTTGGTGTCTGGGTAACGTGGAAACGCCTTGAAATTCGCGCGGTCGTTGACGAAGTCAAATACCGAGCTCGAATCAGGGACGGGGTTTTTGGTGAATGAGTGCATGGGTATCATGCGTGAGCCCACGATGCAGAGGTGCGATGTCGTGCCGGACCTCTGAGCGGAGGCGCGGAGGAGGGGAAGGAGGCGCACGGCGAGCATGGTGTTGGAGAGGAAGTTGATCTGGAACATCTGCTCGGTCTTCGTCTCGGGCGTGGTCTCCCACTTCAGGGTCCCCATCCCCGCGTTGAGCAAGAGGATGTCGAGGTTCGAGATGTCTGCGAGGATTTTGGACGCAAAGGCCGCGACGGAGGATGGACGCGCGAGGTCCAGCTCGTAGATCAGGATCGTGGGCTTGGTACGGAGTGCGAGAACCGCGGGGTCTGCGAGGAGCGCCGCTTTGGTGGCTTCCCCCGTCTTGCGCGTACGTACGGCGAGAATGAGGGTAGAGAGGTGGTGCTGGGCGAGATGGACGATGCTTGCCCAGCCCAGTCCTGGATTACCAGTCAAAAATTGAACACTTCCCGAATGCGTTGAATTGACTGACCTGCATTTGCACCTGTGACGATGGCTGTTTTGCCTGCGAACGAAAGCGAAGCAGGAAGTTCTGGCACGGGTGGTTGGATGAATGGCATTGTCGTTCAATATGTTGAACTCATTTTTTGTGCGTACATATACTATAAAATCGGCGAGGTTTAGTCAGATACGGAAATCCCGCCGCGCGGATATCCCGGCGGCACCCAGCTTTGTAATCTTTCTACTGGCGAGATATCGCGTCGATCCTTGTTTCAAAACCCTTGGAATGCACTCCCGATATCCTGGACCGCGAAATACCAGACGAGTCCAAGTTTGACGCTTATGGTCAAAAAAAGAAATCGGATGCCCAATGGAGAAAAGACGCGACTACGTCACAATCCAGAACGCGTCCACCGGTTCTCTCCACCAAACCACAATGTCCCCCACGAAGGCCCTTGACCCAAAAACTGTCCTCGAGCTGGACGGCTATCTCGAGCCCAATATCCCCGCCATCGTTCATCGCCACGAAGTCTTCAGGAAGTGGAAGGACACCATCGACCAGCATGAAGGCGGATACGAAAACTTCACCAAAGGCTACCTCAAATTCGGCCTCAATGTCGGCCCAAAAGGAGAGGTAGTCTACAGAGAGTGGGCCCCGAACGCCAAAGAGGCATATCTCATCGGCGACTTCAGTGAGCGTCGTTTATGGCCAATATCGTTCAACGCGTTCAACGCTTTTCAGATGAGTGGAACAGAACGTCGCATCCCATGAAAAAGGACGATTTTGGTGTTTGGGAGATTACCCTCCCTGCCCTCAGCTCGGGAGCGTGTGCCATACCGCACGACTCCAAGATCAAGGTGACTTATCCGCGCTCAGTTGCCGTCGTTTTTATCTCAGTTCGTTGTCCAGATCTCAATGATAATCCCCTCCGGACAACGCATCGAACGTCTCCCCGCTTGGATCAAACGGGTGACGCAGGATCTCGCCGTTTCGCCAGTGTATGATGCCCGCTTCTGGAACCCTCCCGCGTCCGAACGCTACACTTTCAAAAACGCGCGTCCTCCGAAACCAAAAGATGCCAGAATCTACGAGGCACACGTCGGTATCTCTTCTCCAGAGGGAAGAGTGGGCACGTATAAGGAGTTCACCCAAAACATCTTGCCTCGCATCAAGAACTTGGGGTACAATATCATCCAGCTTATGGCGATTATGGAGCACGCCTATTACGCTTGTAAGCAGGTCTCGACTCTCCGATTTACGCCTCTTCTCACACCGTCGGTAGCTTTTGGATACCAAGTTACGAGTTTCTTCGCGGCAAGCTCGCGCTATGGGAGCCCAGAAGACCTCAAAGAACTCATCGACACGGCGCACGGCATGGGAATCACGGTCCTCCTCGACATCGTCCACTCGCACGCGTGCAAAAACGTCCTCGACGGTATCAATGAGTTTGACGGCACCGACCA